GACACAGGCTAGCCGCCTAGGCAGTTCCGAGCTGTACTCGAGACCCCTTGCTGTGGCTGGCAGCAAAGAAGCTCCTTTCTCGCTGGACGACGACGCATCCAACTCTTCGTCTTCTACGCTCCCGGCCAGCCCTCTGCACCTCTTCAAGCGACCTCGCACCAGTGCAGATCAGCCACCAAGGACGGGCCAGCCTACGCCTCGACCGCACGTCAGCTCTTTCATTGGACATTCTGGAACGATTAGCGACGGCGCTTTGGATGCAGAGAGACCTGCTAGTCAGCCCAGGCCTTCTGCTCCACCGACCGGAGCGAGGCATGCTCTCGGTCAGGGCAGAAGGGAACCTCGTCAATACATGCCGAACCCCATCGAAGTCCTGCAGCAGGCACAAAGGGCAAAGGAGTCATAGAGGCGGAGCGGCATCGATCTTCACATTGAGGCGCGGCTAGACGAAACGCGCAAAGGAGATGTCTGACCGAAAAAAGCAGGGCGGGGCAGGATGCGGGGAGGAGAGATACATCGGCACCGAACCGTAGAGTGCCGACTGCGCGCTCAAAGTGCTAGAGCGAGTGCTGTTTGAGCTGCGCAAGAATCGGCACCAAAGGGCGGCGCGCACTTTAGCTAAAGGTAGTGCAATCATCAGCACAATCAACCACTTACTTCGTCCCACAATGTCTGAGCTTCGTCAAAACCAGCAATGTCATTGTACCAGTAATGCCAGCCATTGGTGACTGTGAACTGGGTGATGCCGTTCGCTGCGGAAGGAGATGAGGAAGAGCCGTGTGCCAAACCGTAGAGTGCCAACTGCGCGCTCAAAGTGCTAGAGCGAGTGCTGTTTGAGCTGCGCAAGAATCGGCACCAAAGGGCGGCGAGCACTTTAGCTAAAGGTAGTGCAATCATCAGCACAATCAACCACTTACTTCGTCCCACAATGTCTGAGCTTCGTCGAAACCAGCAATGTCATTGTACCAGTAATGCCAGCCATCGGTGACTGTGAACTGGGTGATGCTGTTCGCTGCGGAAGGAGATGAGGAAGAGCCGTGTGGACCAGCGCACTGATACGTCGACTTTGTGACTGTGACATTCAGCCCGGGCAACTGCTCCACCGAGGGGCTTTCGCACTGAAGAATGTCGCTCCAGACGTTCAGAGCGGTGGGTACGGAGTAGCCCCATTCTGTGCAGAAGAAAGCGGGAGGGCGGCAGAGCGCACGATAAGCTGGGGCACAGTGCTGCTTTGTGGACGAAAACGCGGGGGGGCGCCCTAGATGCGTGCTTACACTCACGTGGATTGTCGTTGCCGTTCCAAGGATCAATGTCGTCGTTTGTGCCATGAATCGAGACGATGGCGACGTTGTGACTAGGTCTGCAAGCTTTCTGGCCTTGCCTATGCGGTTGCTGCAAGTCCGGTCTCGCTGGTCCTGCCCTGATGCCGTTTGCGGGCGAGACGGCGGCGAAGCTGTTGGAAGCGTGGGGATCGCAAGCCAAAGCGGTGGACATTCTAGCTCCGCAACTGTGTCCAAAGGAGTAGGAGAGCCTTTTGTCCACGCAAAAGCTGGATTGAGCGTGATGGAGCACTTGAAGCAGGTAGGCCATGTCTTCTGTGCTGCCGGGGTACGTCGTGTTGATGATGGAGGGAACGTAGGGAACGGTCCAGCCCCAGCCTTGCCAAGGGTTATGTTCTGTGATCTCGAACTCTACACCTCCCCTAGGAGACAGCAGGACGATGCCTTCCCTATCGGCCAGCGCTTCCAGGTGCGAGTCGTCGATGATCTGCTGTGGATTACCTTGTGTGGGATGCAGAGTCTGATTGGTGTTGCGCAAAGCATGCCACGTTTCTTGAGCGCAACTGCAACCGTCCCTCGAATACCGCCTCGCTCGGCGCTACAACAAGTCCCTTTACTCACAAGGAGCGTGGGCAATTTGCGCGAACCATCGTACGACTTGGGCAGATAGACTAGGTGAGTCCTATCCACCATGCTTTTGGAGCTCGTGTTGAAGCTTCTGAGCGTAATGTTCTGGTAGCCCTGCAATCCTTGCGCGATCGCAGCGTCGCACGCATCGCTTTCATGTCCGAACCATTTTAGGCTCGAGCTGACCAGCGGTGAATTGAGCAGGCTCGCATCTCCCAACAAGGCCGTGTAGCCAGTGAGGGCTGCGCTGAGTATGTCCTGTATGCGCATCGCGTATCGTCTTGATCTTGATATTGTGTTTGGAAGATGCTGGTGGAGGAGAAGCAAGGGGCTGGATAGCTTGGCATGACTCTCGACTGGTGAAGCGACACCCACGACCGCACGACACAAGCCACACCTCTGCACAGTACAGTCAGAGTCTTGAGTCACGGTCCTTCGCTCCCGTGTCCGCTTCGATCGAGCGCT